GCGATCTGTCAGACAGTTCGTTTACGGCAGCTGTTGAAACCAGTTCACCTCAGTAGTGCGTTGCGAAAAAAACAATGGAAAAAAATATTGGACAAAGAGTTTGCATCAAATTTTGTGTTTCGAACGAAATTTCGTGTGCAGAATCGTTGCGAATGCTACAAAAGGCTTATGGGGAATCAGTTTTATCGAAAACTCAAGTTTATGAGTGGTACAAAGCCTTTCAGGACGGTCGTACGACCGTCGAAGACATTTCGCAACGCACTACTGAGGGGAACTGGTTTCAACAGCTGCCGTAAACGAACTGTCTGACAGATCGCGCTCATTTTTGGCATAGTAATTAAGGACAGTGCTGCCAAACTACATAAACTTAAAATATCGAAAAATATACAGCGCGCGAATTTTAAATGAGAATTTCCGAAAACTTTTCAGTCTTAATGTATGTTAAAGGACCAAAACTAATGGGATTATTGTCATCAATTTTAACAATAATATGTATGGCCTATCTGATAAAAGACGTCTCCTTTCCTGCATTAAAAATATCTTGTCAGTTTAATATATTATTCTCAACAGTAATATGTATGGTCTATGTGACAACATTAAGTATATTTTGTTAGGTTTGTATAACGAACCTTTTTTGCCGAGGTTTCGCTCGACGGATTTCAAGTTCAGTCCTATAAATAGACTTATAAATAAATTTTTTTGATAGGAACAGTGGAAATTTATCAGTGTTATATTGTAGTTCTGACGCACGACGCAGATGGAGGCTTTGCTATAGAAATATAGATTTCTGTGTTATGGAACCAATGGGTTCGTGGTAGAAATGTAAATTTCTGCCACGCCTTGTAAGGATACTAACGAAATGTGTATTTCGTATAGCCAGGAACGTTATATTTATTTGGTGATCCCAAATAGGAATTGTTATCATCTTGGGAATGTTCACTACCGAAATGTTGATTTATGTCTACGATTAGTGCTCAATAAAAAGTGTATTATGTTGGTGGCATACGATATTGAATTTATTGAGTTATGCTTTTGTTCTCAATAGTTTGAGAAAATGGTCTGGAAGAGTTGTTCTTTTAACAGAATGTTGCTACATTTCATACTTCATTTCATAATCGGTGATTTTATGAGGAAGAATTTTAATGACAACATAGTTGTCTCAAATTAAACATTGTCTGATTACCAAGATCGTATTAACTTACTCAATTGTACATATCAATAACCAGAAAAATACTTCAAAGGAGGGAGGCTTACAGATTAAATGTTGCAAAATAGATCGATTATTTTATTAGGATCAACATTATATTGTAGTGAATTGAAATTATAACAAATACATTCAGTTTATTATGACTAATTGAATTCATTAATGAAGTTTTTTTTTGTTTTCATCACAGAAAATGATCTGTTAATGCTAATGTTAAAATAGCTAAAATTGTACGGAGATATATTATACGGAGGTATATGGCTACAAAGAGAAAAATATGTTCTATCTCTGTACTGCAATAATTGTAAACCTCAAAGATGCTACAAGTGTTGATTTCCTTCTCAACTGTAATGTGTACTCGCTTTTTACTGTAAATTAAAATTATAGATTTAAAGATTGGTAAATTTGTGTAAAAGTGGCTCATTGTTTCAATTTGAAAGTAACCTTAGCTTGTTGACCTCATTCCATGGTAACCTGAATGGCTATAGCGCTTTTCGGTTGGGTACTTAAAATCATTTCTCTATACAAAAAAAAAATGGTATTGATTTCAACGCTGAAAGTCAACACTGACTGCCTAATTTGTGAGATCAAGCATAAAATTAATGAAAATCTATGGACTGTTGTCCTTTTGACATGTCCGTGATAGCTATATGTCCGAAATGATTTTTCATCAATATTGTCATATAATTATTGACTCATTTGATTAAGTTATGTATTTATGTGTTTTATTGCACTATTTACAAAGATTGACAAAATTTAAGAAAAATAAATTTCTATTATATTTTTATAATCATTCTATTTTTTTTATAATTCCTACACCCACAAATTCCTATAAAGGTATTACAATACCAATTTATTTACATATATTTAATAAATTTCTTAAAAAATAAAAACTACCCATACCGAATAATATAATTAAATATATTACAATAATTAGTAATAAAAACGTGCAGGTTGTAGGAAATCCTTTATTGGAGAGTTTGCACCATTTTGTACTTTTTTATAATCATAGCCACCATTTGGTGCCAGACCATCCAATGAGCCAATCACTGATTTCACAGGAAGTATACCTTGATCTAAAAATTCACTGGTGCCACCTAAACTGTCATATTGTTCTGAAAAGTATTAATAAAAATTGAAGTAAATATAAAACATATATTATAGATATGTAATAATCTTTCTATTTCTGAATAGAAAGAAACTATTGTTTTAATGGAGAGATATTTTGAGCAATAGTGAATAACAACAACAAAATTTTATTATTTGTTAATTAATTGAATTTTGGCTAACCAAACAGCTGTTTCGTTTTGCCAAATGCTCATCATCAGTGGTCTTTTGAAAACATTACTTAATTAATTCATAATTATTCACTTAATTATTTGTAACTAATTTTTTGAGACTGCAAGTACCAACGATTGAACTCGTGCCCTGCCAAATTTGAAGCTCAAAGTCAGTCTTCATTAGCCAACTGACCCAAAACCGTACTTGATTTATATGTGTTAACTTGGGATTTTGTTAATTCACTGAGAAAATGAACAAATTCACTTGCTGTGTTATATTACAACGAAATCATAAACACGCTATAGACTAATTTAATTAATGAATTATAGTTGTTTTTAATTTTTGATTTTTTTACTAAGCACAGATTTTCGAACTTTACCTTGAATTTCCTTTTGAGCAGCACTTGCTTCCTCCTGAGTTTTATATTTAATGAAAAACACCTCTGGTTTGGGTGCTTGTGTTGGTGGAGGTGTAGCTATATCTCCGACATTAACTTCATTATCCTTTTTACTTAGTACATAGATCACAGTCTTTTCTTCTTGTGGCGCATACTCTGCACTCAGTTTTAGATTAGTATTTTGCGATGAAGGTGCTTTGATAAATACAACACGATAATTTTTCTGTGGACGTCCAATTACAAAATGTTTCGTTTTTTGTACTTCCTCAACTTCATCTGGTGCAGAAACCAAGTAAAATTGTTTTGTGATTATAGGTGCAAGTGTTGTAGTTTCTGGTGGTAAATATTTGTCACCATTAAACTGTTGACTATTAACTTTGTGTTCCGTTTGAAATGGTACCGACAAGGAATTGCTAAGCGTTGGTGTATTGAAGAAACTGTGGCTTTCCTTATTAACTACGCTATTCCCAATAGTATTGCTTAACGCTGGTGTGTTGAAGAAGCTATTACTTTCCTTACTAACTAGGCTACTCCCAATAGTATTGCTTAGCGCTGGTGTGTTGAAGAAGCTATTGCTTTCCTTACTAGCTGCGGTATTTCCATTGGAGTTGCGTTCGTAGTGATAACCAAAATGTGGTGATGCTCTGGCCACTGCAGCAGCGAGTAAAGTAAAAGTGTAAACCGTAAGGATTTTTGCCATAATTTCTTCGAGTTGTTAAATGCTTCAAAAATTTTAATAAACTGTTGGTGATTTTTGACTGACATCTGCCATTTATATAATTAATTAAAATATTATGATTTTATTTTAAAGAAAATTTTATATATAATATATAAAAAATTGCATAAATTAAAATTTTGTTAATTGTTGGGAAAATGCAGAAATCAGAGCGGACGTTGCTACAGCAGATTTGCCATATTAACGGTTTACTTAAGCTTAAATGCGATCATAAAATTTTTTTTCAAGTTAGCAAATTAGTTCAATGTCAGTAGTGCTAAGTTGTGTTAAGTTTTCTTTCAGAAGACTGAGACAATTAGTTGTTTTTATTTTTTATTTTTTTTTTTTTTTGTATAAAATAGTTATTTTTATTAGTTAGTGGGTGCTCATTGGAATTCATTAACTTCAGATCTAAAAACAAAAGACTTAGAAAAATATTTGGATTGGATAACCCGCACTTCAACAAGTTTTTGTCTTAAGTCTCTTGTTATCTTTATAATTGCTCATGTTTTGAAAATTAATTGAGCATGAAAGTATGCTCTTTTGTAATTTTATTGTATATGTAGTAGCAGATCTAATATCTTATATAAAAATGTATTTCATTTTATAACCAAAACTTGTTACTTTAGTTAGAGAAAAATGGAAAAATTTTAATGAAGGAACTCTCTTGAATTTAGTGTTATTCGGTTAGGTATATTGTGAACACAAACTTTGAAATTTGTGTTTTATTACTATTAAAAATTATTCTATTTTATTTTTTAATGTTTTATATTTCCAAATAAATATGAAAAATTAACGCTGAGTAATTTATGGCCCAATGTTCCCCCGGGAATGTACTGGAATGAATAAATAGCGCTGAGTAATTAAATAAAATAAGATTTAAAGCAAGAGAAGACATTTTGCAATATCTTGCAACAAAAAAAATATATATAACTGAAAAATGATTAATATAAAAATACAAAATACTTTCGTTAAAAGTTAAACACAATAATTTAAACCACGCTGTGATATAGACATCGTATTTATCTCTATAATCTGGATAATGTGATGACCCGGACATCACAATATTTTACTCAATT